CGGCCCTCTTGCGGGAGGAGCGGGGGTCGGGAAGGGTCTGTGCGTGACGGCGAGGCGGCCGGTGCCCGCAGGTCGGGCTGCTGCGTTGGGCAGGCCTGCGGGGCAGGCCAACCCGCGGCTGCCCGGGCAAAGCGGGACTTCGTGCTTCATTCTGACGGCTTTAAATGAAAGGGTTTGGTGCAGAGGTCTGGGGGAGGCTGTTAAAGTCGGGGGATGTGGCTGTAGCTGCCTTAGGGTCGAACAAGGCCGCCCGGACAACAAAAGCAAGAGGGACAATAATAAGGGTGCCTTTAATGCACTGTCTGACAAATGGTGAAGTGAGTCTTCAGGCTTGGCCCCCAAACCACCCATGTGGAGTCGTCTGGCTGTTAAGGAAATATATATTTAGACATACTTTAGCAGGTTGCTTTAAAAGAAATAATTTATTGAACTTTTCTGCATGCTTTCTCTTGAAAAACACGAGGTGATAGAAGTAGTTAAGGAGGATTTTGAGTGTTGGATGAAATACAACACAGTAGCAAGGATTTGTTTATTTCCTTCCATCTAGAGGATTAAGAAAGCAATTACCAATGCATTTAATTTAGGCATTTAGTCTGAATGCAGCAACACTACTCTGTCAGCATCCAAAGGGTACTCCTTAGGGGCATGCTGTGCTGGATTTTAAAGTTCTCCGTAAGCATCAGAACACCTGATTATGCTCTTTCAATTGAGCTTTAAAGGAACTGCTATCCTAGAGGAGGAGGTTAAAAAGTACAGGAAAGTACAGGAATAGGCCTTCCATAGAATTGACGTGCAGAGAGCACCATAAAAGCGTGGGATGTGTCTTGCTTTGTCTTGACAGTTTGGGAGTGGCAGTGATAAGCTCTGGGAGAAAAAAAAACAACACCATGTGCAGCAAGGTTGGTTCAGAAGAGATGTACAGTCTGAGAGCATTAAAGGTCATAGGAGCAAAGCATGCAAGAAGGTGAGGTAGCAGGGAACTTCATTGTTGGTGGTGATTGCTCTGTGAAGAGTAGCTACGTCTTAAATTGTCAGGTGCCTGTTCCACTGTTGTGGCTTAATTGTTAGTGGTTTCAAGGGCAAGCCTTCAAATACTGATTTTAATCACAGGTCATGCATTTAGTAGGAAAAAAAATCTTTGCTGCTAAAACAAACAGTTACAAAGCTGTTACAAACCTGCAAATTATTTCACTGAAAAAGATCTCACTGTGCTTTAATATATAGATTTGTTATTTGTTTATCTGTTTTTACTGGAACACATGCATACCTTTGAATGTATTTGAGATGTGAGCAAGGGTTTTTTTTTTTATAACTTCCAACAGAAAACAATTTATTGGGCGCAGTATGGCACATGGTTGGTATTTCTGGATTGTCTAATATCCTGTTAATTTTGTAGTGATTTCACTGGCCTGGAAGCTATGCATGCTTCAGTAATTATGGTAGCACTTCTGGTAATTTTCATGCTTCTGAATTATTGGGGAAATTAATATTGTTTTGCTATTTTCCAAATCAAGCTTAATGTATTTTCCAGGGACTGAGAATGCACAGGGGGAGGTTGACCCCAGCCAACAACTAAGCATCCACACAGCTTCATGTTTACTCTCCTCAGTGGGACATGGGAGAGAACAGAAAAAGTGAGAAAGCTTGT